TATTGGTAGTTGAGTTGGAAGGAATTAATTTGTATTTATTTTACTCTATTACTTAAATAAATAATTATTTAATCAATTCACTTTTTTTCTTTGTATTATGAAGTTTTTAATTTTTTATTCTTATTTTATCTTGAATATATTAGAATTAAACTATTAGTTAATCATTATAGAGTTTTTCGATTACAGAGTTGTTTTTTTCTTTAATTAGTTTTCTAATTTTTTTATTTTTATTTTTGTCTTGAATTTATTAGAATTTAACAATTAGTTCATTATGATACAAACTATTGATAATAATGTATTTATAGTTTGAAAGAATTAATTATTATAAAATGTTAGTCAATGATGGAATATTTATTGCTAACAATAAATGAATGAAAAAAAAAGCAAATAATTTAAGAAATGGAATAAAAACGGAAGAAAAAAATGTATACATAAAATGAAGAAATTGATAATTTATTAATTAATAAATGAATTCTTCCGATTATTTATAAAACAAATAACATTTTTTGCAAATGCTTTTTTTTTTAATCATTTCATAGAATATGATAAATATGCTATTTAATGCTTATCATATTTTTTTTATCAGTATTGGGGTTTGGATGCTAATGAAGTTGAGCCATGTTGTTGGATGACATATACGCAACATCGTGACACACAAGAAGTATTGACTGCACTTGATAAACTTGATATTGATTTTGATGAAAGTCGTTTGAAGGATCCCGAGGAAGTCTATCGACGGTATACATGTATTTCATATTAATTATTAATTACTTAAGCTATTATCAAACTTCATTGAAATTTTCCATCAGGAATACTGTAATTATGTAATTTGAGATTTAAATTAAAAATTGAAAATAAGAAATATTAATTTCGAAAAAAAAATCTTAATTATAATGATCATTGGCTATCATTTTTAATTACTTATTATGTTGTAATTTTGAAAATCTATTTGTTATAACTTAGCATATTTGCATAATTAACTAATAATTAACTCTCTACCTCTCTTATTCTATACATATATATTTCAATAATTAAATATATATAATTGAAGTATGTTAAAAAAAAATTAAAATTTTAAAAAATAAAATTTAATACTAATATTTTTCATTTCATTTCATTCGCCCTTTTTTTTACATTTATTTTGAAAATTTGTTTATTTTTTTCTAAAATTTAAATATTTTAAAATCGTATTTTTTTTTTCAGATTTGGTTGGGAGGATGATTATCATAATCATTCGTTATCAAAATGGCAAAAATTGAAACCTAAAATTTGGCATTTATTCGATGAACCCTATTCATCAAATGGAGCAAAAGTTTGTTGTATTTTATTATTTTAAAATTTGCTTATAATTTATAACACATTTATAATTTTCAAAACGTTTTAAAAAAAACTTTTTGCTGCAAAAATTAAATTAATTACTAAAAAAATTTCAAACATACATTGCTAAATTGCACGTAAATTGTTATTTGAAGTAAAAATTCTAAAAATTTAATTTTAAACAAGAAAATTTATCAATGGAGTACTGTCGCTTTCTTTTTTTTTTTCCAATATATGTCAATTAAATAATGAAAATAAACAACAATTAAAAAAGTGAACAATTATTAATCAATTAGGATTTGGTTATTAAATTTTGATGAAAGTATGATAAGAAAGATAAAAAAGTTAAAGTTAAGCTTAAAATAAGTAATTAAGTTACATTGCTTAATTTAACTCATATATGTTTAAAGTTAAAAAGAAATGTCAAAGGTCAAACTTCTGGTCATATTTAATCAAATTCATTTTCATTTAAATTTCCAACTTCAGGATAAACAATAAATTAATGAACCAAATGAATTATTTGGCAAGTTTAACCTTTGACATTTTGCATATTCAAATCATCTGATTCAGTTTTTGAATTTTATAAACTTCACAATTTTTTATCACATGATTTTGCTACATTTGAATAAATTAAAAATCATTTAATTTCACGAATAACATTCAGGTAATTGCTGTTGTATCAGTTTTTTTCCTTATCATAGCAATCTTCGTATTTTGTCTTAAAACACATCCCGGTTTACGGGTTGCCGAATTGAATATTATGCAAATTAATGCAACATCCGGTCGTTATTATCGTTCCATGGGCTTCCCAAACAAATATCGTACCGAAACAATTGATATTGATAAAGCAAATTCCAAACCGCATCCAGGTTTTTTAGTAAGTTTTTATTTTCAGGTTATTTATGATACAAATGTAAAATTTAAATTGAATGTTAATTAAATTATCAATTTAAATTTAATTACTCATTTATCGAGCATTTCTGCTTTCCAAACAAATTCAATTTCTTTCAAAATGTAATTTTATTGGTTCGTTGAGTTTTGTTTCCCTTAAATTCGAAATATAATTTTCTCAAGTTTTTTTTTCCTTTTATCATTTCAAATATATTTGAAAATAAAAACAAAAGAAAAAAGAATTTCTATTTCAGATAGTTGAAGCAATATGTAATGTATGGTTTACAATAGAAATTTTTATTCGATTTATAACTGTCCTAGCAAAATTAAATACTTTAAAACACCGGTAAGTTAATCAAATATAGAAAATAGATGAATAAATATTTCATTAATTTCCAGATATAAATTGGAAGGAAAAAAAAATGATAATCAAAATTTTAATTAATTTCAAATAAAAACAAAAAAAATTTTTTAAATTTTTAAAGTAAATTTGTCATGTTTATATTGTTATTCAAATTT